GGCACATGCCTGTAGTCCCAGCTACTTGGGAGGCTGAGGCAGAAGGATCGCTTGAGCCCAGGAGTTTGAGGTTGCTGTGAGCTAGGCTGACACCACGGTACTCTAGCCCAGGTGACAGAGTGAGACTGTGTCTCAAAAATAAATAAATAAATAAAAAATAAAATAAAATACTTGAAGTTATCTAAGTAGCCTTTTTGATAGGTTATTTCCTATTGTTTCATCATTCATTCATTTATATTCATTCATTGCATATTTATTGAACCACCTACTGTGTGCTAGACACCCTTCCAAGACATGAGGATTCAGTATTGAACATAACAAAGTCCTCGCCCTTGTGGAACTTATATTCTTGTAAGCAGTGCTGCAGAAAATATATCCTTGTACATGTTATGTTTACTTGCTCATGTGAGCAAATCTGTAGAATAAATTGTTTGACATGGAATTATTGGGTCAAAGGGTATACAAATTTCAACGATGTCAAAATGCTTTCACAACAAGTTATACCAACTTAACATTATCACTAACAGCCTCATCAACATTAGATACCATTAATCTTTATAATCTTTACCAGTCAGGCAAAACTTACCTTATTTTAATTTACGTTTCCTTGCTTATTAATGAAGTATCTTTTTACATGTTAATTAGCCATTTATATTTCTTCCATGAATTGCCGGTTAATCTTTTGTCCCCATTTTTCTATTGGGTTGTTTGTCTTTTTCATATTGATTTATTATTATTGATGATTCCTTATTATACTGGCCTTCAAATATATTCTCTTAGCATGCTGTTGATCTTTTCACTCCTGTTTCTGGTGCTGCTTTTTTTTTCAGTATAGTCAAATTTGTCAATCTTTTCTTTTATGGCTTCTGATTTCACATTATGCTTAGAAAAGACCTTCTATCAGCATTCTATTTTCTTCTAATAATCTTATTTATATTTTTACATCTAAACATTTAATATACCTGAAATTTATTTTTTATATTACTTAAAGAAGGCATTTAATTTTATTTTTATTCAAAAAATGATGTTGAATTGATAATCTATCCTTTTTCACTGAAGTATGACCATAATACTTTGTAGTATGTAGTCATATGCTAAATACACATTGGTCTGGTATCTGTGCTCTTCCAGTAATCTTTTATTCTACCAATACTAAAACCTATTTATTTGTTAATTTATGCTGATGGTATAGTTTTTTCTCTTTTTCAAACATCTCTTAGTTTTCATATATTTCCTCTTCCAGATGAACCTTAGAATCTGGATTTTAAGAATCTATTTCATTATTTTGTTTGTGTTTTTATAAAAAATCTCTTTAGAATAAGCCAAATATAAATTAATTAGTTAATATAAAATCAAGTTCAGTGGAGGCAATCCTGCACCAATGCAAAACAAGTTCCCAGAAAAGAATGAAAATTCCTCCCAAACCATTTACTTACTTTTAAATTTTTAAATTATTATCTAAGGAATATGGTTGTTGGTGAAAGGGGGAAAAAGTGTAAAAACAAACTTGTGTGCATCTTTCAGAGAATGCAAAGAAAGTCAGATTGTTAATGAGACTTACTTTAGAATAGGAAGCAATCGTTGAGGAAAGAGAACTCCTAAGGTTTGAATATTTGGTAGCAACTGAGAAGAAAATGTTTGTCACCAAAGTCCTTAATGTCCTTAAAATAAAGAATGGAATAAGAAAATGCTGACTGAGGCAGAAAAGTGGGGCTGGGGTTGAACTGATAGGAATCCGTGTGTATTTTCTTTTATGATGTTATTTTGTCTCTCTCTGTATTTTTCTCTCCTCCCACCTCCTCCCCTCTGCCCCACCCCATGTATGTGTATGCATTTGTGGTGATGTGCAGGTGGACGGGCAGGGAAGGTAGGAAGGATGCCTGTGAAATAAATATTTGTCTTATTTTCTATGAAAAAATTGTAGGCTAAAACTTTGAGGTAGTGACAGTTACAATCTCCTTGTGGATGTTTGCATTTAAGATATCTTTTCTTTCTTTCAGAGAATAGGAGGGTAACCAAGTCTGATCCAAACCAACATCTTAAGATTATTCAGGATCCTGAATACAGACGGCTTGGCTGTACTGTAGATATGAACATCGCACTAGCGACTTTCATACCACACGAGTATGTTATTTATTTTTTCTTGTGAAATAAAGAATAATATTACTTATAAACCTTTATGGCTAGTATGATTTTCTTACTACTTATTAAAACTCTTAATAGAAAATGAAATAAAATAATGCACCATAATTCTACTACTTCAACACATGACATTTTCCTACTTTTTCTGTGTGCCAGACCATGTTCCTATAAATGTATGTAAAAATTTTATAATTGGAAAACTTCTTTAGCCATAATTAAGATCCTGATAAATATATTTAAGGTGTCTTTGACCTTTGTTAGAAAATTTTGAAATGTAGAATTTGTAAAACCATTATATCATAAGTTTGTATTGCTCTACCTACTCTAGCAACGGACCAGCTGCAATTGAAGAATGCTGCAATTGGTTTCGTAAGAGAATTGAGGAATTAAATTCAGAGAAGCTTCGACTCGTGAACTATCATCAGGAACAGGTTTACCTATTTTGAACTGCTGTCTTTTTGAGTCTTAATGCTATTTTGTTGTTGATGATGATGTAACATAATTTAATGTTTTCCAGGCAGTTAATTGCCTTTTGGGAAATGTGTTTTATGAACGACTAGCTGGCCATGGTCCTAAACTAGGACCTGTCACTAGAAAACATCCTTTAGTTACCAGGTATTCCATTTTTGTTTTCTTCTCATTGATGGTTAATAATTGAAAACTATATTTAACTTTTCAAATTAACCTAAATGTTTTCTTTAATGTGTGACTTTAGTATATTTCTTAAATTGAGATAAAAGTTTTTACTTGGAAGTAGGCTTAATTAATTATGTTAAGCAAATCTTTAGTTAGAGAAACTACCATTAGCATGAAGCCATTTATAGTTTTTATTTACATTAATATTTCTGGAGGACTGTATACATAGTGATAAATTTAATGTCAATCAAATTGAGCAAGCATTTATTGAGCATGTTACTTTACAAGTAACATGTAGCATAGACTGGACAATTATACTATAGTAAAAGCCTTTACAAAGTATTAATAACATAAATAACTCAGTAATTTTCTTATAATTTTATGAAGTTTTAAGAATTATTTAAAATGTTAGTTGGATATGCTATAATGTTAACTCTCCATTCCTAAAATCCTCCTAGATTTACTCAAAAAGTCTACTGAAGATATTTGTTCTATATTGAAGCTTATTTCCTACAAATGGTGTCAAACTAATTTCATTTATTAAGGAGGAAGTTTAATTTTAATGTTGGTAAGTCAAATTGTCTCCAAGGTGTTTCTCTCTATGGATTTAATATTTAATTATATCTCCATAGGTATTTTACTTTCCCCTTTGAAGAACTGGCCTTCTCAACAGAAGAATCTATGATTCATCTTCCAAATAAAGCTTGTTTTCTGATGGCACATAATGGATGGGTAATGGGAGATGATCCTCTTAGAAACTTTGCTGAACCAGGTACATCATTTTTTAACTTTTCTATGGAAACAAAAGGAGTTTATAGCAAGCTCAAAATATAATGTTTTATTGATTTTTTTTCCCCACTAGTCTAGTGGTTTTTAAACTGCTTCATCATAGAGCTACCAGAAGTACATGCGGTCTGAGAGGAGAAAGAGAGTTGACAAAAGGATGGGGCTCATTTTTCCTCTTCTTTGCCGTATTTCCTACCTCTTATCTTCTCAAACAGAATAGCTTTTATGTATTTGTTTTATATATTGTGGGTCTGTGTAGCTTTTATTTGGGCAAAATATTATTCTATTGCTTTTTTAAAAAGTTTGAAATCACAGCTATTACAATTATATTGCCATAGAGATATTTTCACTTATTGGCCAGAGGTATTAAGATATTTGAGTGGCAATTAAACTAGAAAGTAATTGTTTTTAGTTTCCCTCACTTACTCTTAGTGTCTTGTTTTTCTTTTCTTTTTTTTTTTTTCAGACAGAGTCTCACTCTGTTGCCCAGGCTAGAGTGCCGTGGCGTCAGCTTAGCTCACAGCAACCTCAAACTCCTGGGCTCAAGCGATCCTCCTGCCTCAGCCTCCCGAGTAGCTGGGACTACAGGCACATGCCACCATGCCCGGCTAATTTTTTCTATATAGATTTTTAGTTGTCCAAGTAATTTCTTTCATATTTTTAGTAGAGACCGGGTCTCACTCTTGCTCAGGCTGGTCTCGAACTCCTGAGCTCAAATGATCCACCCGCCCCAGCCTCCCAGAGTGCTAGGATTACAGGCGTGAGCCACCGCGCCCGGCCAGTGTCTTGTTTTTCTAAAGCTATTTCACTGCCAGGAAGAATTTTGCAGGGGGCCCACTGATATATTTTTTAACATTTCAGAATGAGAAGTCTATTTTAGTGACATTAAAGTTAATTCAGAAATCTTATGCTCTTTATTTTCATAATATAATTTTGGGTTTAAGTATCTCTGTTCTCTTTTTTCTAGCCATTCTAAATGAAAAAAGCCATTCTGCTGTATGCCCTGGATTTAATGTAACCTATTGCCAAAAATGGGTAGAAATGTAGAGATGAAGCTTTAAATGTTTTTGGTAGAACTATAGCTTTAAAAGGCCTTTGATATTACTATTTCTTTTTTTTCCTTAAGAAGCAACTTGGATTTTTGAAATTATTCACACATTTTTAGAAGAGACTCTAAACTAGAATTTTTACAAAATAGGTGTGAGAAATAATACTAATTTTTAAAACTTTGTCCCATATCATTTTAGATATAATTTTAACCAGTATATCGTTCGTGGAATAAATGATAAAAGCAACTTAAAAACAATAGTATTTCCTTGAAGGAATTGTTTTCATTTTATTTCTTGAACCATTGAAAGCAATCTCCTTTCTTAACAGGTTCAGAGGTTTATTTAAGGAGAGAACTTATTTGCTGGGGAGACAGTGTTAAATTACGCTATGGGAATAAACCAGAGGACTGTCCTTATCTCTGGGCACACATGAGAAAATATACTGAACTAACTGTGACATATTTCCAAGGAGTACGTCTTGATAACTGCCACTCAACACCTCTTCATGTCGCTGAGGTACAGAAAAACAGTTCATCTACATTAAGAAAAGGCTTCAGTATTCTTTCCTAGCTTTCCCTAAGTAGGTTATGCAGATACATGTTTCCTTTTCTAGTTGGATGCCAGTATTGATTTGGTAGTAATATTTAATGTTTGTATAATTTGTATAATTTTAACAATCTTTTGATGCAGTTATTATTGGAATACTGGGCTATAAACTATTTAACAAGTTAATTTTTTACTTTAATTTAGGGAAGTTGATCATATTGTCTTTGATAATATATAGCACAACCATATTGCCTACTGATAATATATAAAATATTAATTTGTCTAATTTTCAGGTTGCTTTCAATATATATTCGTAGCAACTGTGAAATTGAATAGCTTATTACACATTATAGTGTTCTTTTTTTTTTTTTTTTTTTTTAGACAGAGTCTTGCTCTGTCTCCTGGGCTAGAGTGCAGTGGCATTGTCATAGCTCACTGCAACCTCAAACTCCTGTGCCTCAGCCTCCTGAATAGCTGAGACTACAGGCACATGCCACCATGCCTGGCTAATTTTTCTATTTTTTGTAGTGATGGGGTCTCACTTCTGCTCAGGCTGGTCTCAAACTCCTGGCCTCAAGCAATCCTCACGCTTCAACCTCCCAGAATGTTAGGATTACAGGCGTGAGCCACTGCACTGGCCTATAGTAATTATTTAAACACTAACATTATAGCATACTGAAGCCAGTTTTAGCCTCACCGATTCAATTTTTATTAATTATTTATAAAAATATAAGTGTACACATAAATGTTGTCTTCCTTTTTGGGCTTTTTATAGTAACTTTTGAACAATGCCAATACTTATAGTATCCTCTACCTAATAAAACTTTGTAAATAAGCATAATTGTCATCCAACTTCCCAGTGAAAAGTGTCACTTAGGTGTTCTTTGGAAATATGTGCTTATCTGAAAAATTTCTACTTTTATAATATTAAAGCAGTATTATAATGTATATATTTCAGGTCCTGTGATGAAAAATTGATTTGATTTGAAGGGATTTAATGAACATTAGTTAAGCTGGTAAAACACTGTTTAGCTCCAAAAGATGGCAGGATTTATTTTTATCGTGCCTTTAGCAACAGCAAAGGAAATATGTACTTGTAAGATTGTTATAACATTATGGCAAAAAAGAATGTTAAAACTTAATTTGCTTAATTTTAAAATTACAAAATTTTTCAGGATTCTACTTGTTAGCTAGTTGAATTTCAAGTATTTTATTAATCTTTGTGTGAATCTTATGTTAACAAAAATTTGGAACCAACCTGATTTCTGATTATAAGCCTGTATTTTCTGTTTATCAGCTAGATAAGTAGCACCAGTGTTAAATTATACCAGTGAAAATTGCAAGGTATAAGAGTTTAAGAGTTTATTATCATCTGTGGGAAAAGCTGGCTTCAGTCTGGCCAGACTTAATCGTTGCAATAGCTAAATAATTCACCAGCAGAGAATTTATCAATAATGACTTAGTCAACCCCCTGGAAATTAACAGTCTGATTAGAGGTATTAAAAACAAATAAACAAAAAACAAGAGGAAAGCCTGACAGAATTGCAGTGTTATGGTTTACATTTTTTAATATGACACTAAACATTCTTCTTCTTTTTCCCTTGTGTCTCTATGTCTTTGTAAAATCTAATCTTCGTTTTTAACTGTTTTAATTGTTTTTATTCTCTTTACAAATTCTCTTGTTTCCTATGTGTATTACTGTGTTTGATGTTTTCTTACATATGCATAATGAAATATATTTGGAAATTCTTGAATTTCCATTTTGTCTGGCTACGTATTTTCCTGTGTCAAAACCATGCCAGTTTTGTCTCCTTCCTTTTCCCCTATCTTGCTTTTCTCTTTCTGTTACATTTATATCTGTGCTTTTTGCAGTACATGTTGGATGCTGCTAGGAAATTGCAACCCAATTTATACGTAGTAGCTGAACTGTTCACAGGAAGCGAAGATCTGGACAATATCTTTGTTACTAGACTGGGCATTAGTTCCTTAATAAGAGGTAGGCTTGTTGGAATGTATTTCCCATCTAAAACTTTAGCTTTTGCTTAGATAGATTAAAAGGCATTTTGTAGCTTTATATGCAATGCTTCATAATTTTTTTTTATTTTTGCCGTCCGCGCTGACCCCGAGCCCAATGCTTAACAATTTTTAACACAGTTAGCGTTCCCTAAAATAGTCTATATGAAGTTTTCTAATATAATGCTATCTATTTTTATCAGTAAAAATTTCTACTTTTGTGTAAGATATACCTCATTTCAAATTGAAAGATCAGTGGTATGAACTGATGACTCACAAATAAAACCATTTTTTTAATTGTTGAAAATATACAAATCTGTTTTTCATCTCCTACCTGGATATATGATGTACTCTTTAAATTTTTTTTGATGGATTCTTTATAGCTTACATCCTAATAAACAACATATGTTCCCTTTTCGTTACATGAGCCATTTCTCCAGTTAAGTTATAGGAAGACTTTTTTGTCACTTTCACTAATGGATATTTGTTTAAATGCTTAAAGCAATTTTATTTTTGATAACATTGATGTGGTCTTTATTGTGAAAATCAGTCATAATAAGAAATCCAGCCTCTTCTTGGACATAAATAACGAGATTGTTAAAATATTCTGTAATGCTCTAGAGGCTATGAGTGCCTGTAACAGTCATGAAGAGGGCAGATTAGTTTACCGGTATGGTGGAGAACCTGTTGGATCCTTCGTACAGCCCTGTTTGAGGCCTTTAATGCCAGCTATCGCACACGCCCTGTTTATGGATATTACCCATGACAATGAGTGTCCTATTGTGGTAAGCATCTAATCATCTTCATGTATGTACTTATTTTGCTAAATGTTTTGATATTTAGCTCTCTGATAATTAGTGGCAATAATATCCGTATACTTCAAAATAATGTCTTAGATTTTTAAGTGATTGTAGCACATAGTTTTTACAATGTTTTGTTTAAAAACAAATTAATGTATCTTATAAACTATATTTGTGTAATTATCTTTTTACTTCATTATGCTGTAGAATGGCACTTTGCATGTGAAACAAAGTAAACTTTTGCTTTGTTGTTGCTTTCTAGCACAGATCAGCATACGATGCTCTTCCAAGTTCAACAATTGTTTCTATGGCATGTTGTGCTAGTGGAAGTACGAGAGGCTATGATGAATTAGTACCTCATCAGGTTTGTTTACATATTGTTTTTTAAAATCTACATGGCTAACAACTTTGAGCACTTTTATCAAAAGCTCTCATTGTAGTTAAAATGTATACATGGCTAAATTTTACTTTTGTTCAGATTTCAGTGGTTTCTGAAGAACGATTTTACACTAAGTGGAATCCTGGAGCATTGCCATCAAATACAGGTGAAGTTAATTTCCAGAGTGGAATTATTGCAGCCAGGTGTGCTATCAATAAACTTCATCAGGAGCTTGGAGCCAAGGGTTTTATTCAGGCAAGAAAACTAAATTTCATAAATTTATTTCTTAAGGTTCAATTTCAGAATAAATCTTTCCAATCTGAGCACCAGTTTCTAGTCTGAGCCCTAACCTAGTTACTCTTTCTATTTCTCAGGTATATGTGGATCAAGTTGATGAAGACATAGTGGCAGTAACAAGGCACTCACCTAGTATCCATCAGTCTGTTGTTGCTGTATCTAGAACTGCTTTCAGAAATCCTAAGACTTCATTTTACAGCAAGGAAGTGCCTCAAATGTGTATCCCTGGTAAAGCAATCTAAAAATTATCATTATAGTATATCATTATATTAAATTATATTATTAATATAATGTTATATTAAATCATGGTTATATGTCGTATATGTTATAACACAGTACAAGTGTAGACATAGTTGAAAAAAAAGAATTAGAAATTTTTGGTAACTTATATTTTTATTGCAAGGAACAAAACCTGGACAGAAATACTCCCAAATGTTAACATTTTTCGAGTTGTGAAATATTTTTGTTTATATCTTAATACATTTCCTAGTTTGTATAAGATTAATATGTATTTCTCTTATACTCAGGACAATATATGTATATTTATTTGTATATACATATATGCATATGCGTATGTGTGTAAGTGTGTATTTGTGTATGTGTATGCATACATATAAATTAAGATGGAAAATATTCTAACCATGTGTTTAAGACTTTTCATAATCCATCCTCATCTACCAGCCTAGTCCTATGTCACTCCACTATTTCAGCAAAATAGATATTTTCGCTGCTTCCCAAGTAGTCTTACTTCCATCTGTATATGAATTGTTTACATCTTTCAAGAACTAAGTTTCACCTGCTTTGAGAAGCCTTCTATAAGTACTCAGTGATCTCTCTCTCTCTTTTGAATATATAGCAATTATAGTCTATGTCATGCGTTTAACAATTACAAAATACATGCCTGAACTATATCCATATTATTGCTTGATTTTTTTCTAGATATATGTGTATTTTATTTCCTTACTATTATATATAACATATATATTATAGCATAGCATTGTGCTCGTGCATGCAGCAACTGTCCAAGTTTGTTGATTGATTGAGTGAATGAAGATTACAATATTGGCTGGGCACAGTGGCTCATGCCTGTAATCTTAACACTGGGAGGCTGAGGCGGGAGGATCACCAGAGGTCAGGAGTTTGAGACCAGCCGGAACAAGAGCAAGATCCCGTCTCTAAAAAAAATTTAAAAATTAGCAGGATGTGGTGGCATGTGCCTGTAGTCCCGGCTACTCGGACAGGCTGAGACAGGACGCTCACTTGAGCCCAGGTGTTGGAGGTTGCAGTGAACTATGATGATGCCACTGCACTGTAGCCTGGGTGACAGAGTGAGACTCTGTCTCAAAAAAAAAAAAAAAAGGTTACAATATTATCTCAGATTTTGTTTTGGTCATTGATCATTCTTAAAACATTTCCATTTGTCAATCCACAAAATTCTGATTTTCATTATGTTAAATGTCTCATATTTTGTTATGTTAGCATTCCATTTTTAATATTCTTTAGTATGTTTAGTGTTCTTTATTTCATTTTTGACTATACACTTAAGAATATTTTATTTTCAACAATCTTCTTAGTGTATATTTTAAGAAGTAGAATTTCTGGATCAAAAGGTACTATTACTTATTTCCAGATTATTAGCTTAAAGCTTAAGTTATTTAAATAGCAAAGTTCAAATTTTATATATCTTTTGACCCAGCAAATCTACTACTAGGTATATATCTGAAAAAATTCTCATACATTTCCATTTGAAGTTATGCATAAGACTATTTATTGCAATATTATTTATAATAGAAAAAAATTAGAGACAACTTTAATAAAATGAATGCATTTGGGTATATTCATACAGTAGAATATTATTTGGCATTTGAAATAAATGTGCTAGAGTTAATGTAACAATGTGAATGAATCTAAAAAATACAGTGTTGACTAGTAGAAAGCAAGTTGCAGAAAAATATGTATAACTTGAATTCATTTTAATTCAACTTGGAAATGTGGAAAATAATATATGCTGTTTAAGAATATAATATGTGTATGTAATAAAATGTCAGGAGTAATGAACACTAAGTTGTAAGTAGCAGCACCTCTCAAGGAGAAGAGAGGGTACTCAGGGTCTCCACTTGTATTTTTAAATTTTTCTTAAGTGAGGTAGCAGGCCCTGTGTTTTTAAAAAATTTTTCTTTTTATATTTCTGAAATAGTCTAGTCTTTTAAAAATGCAAGCCTTTCAAACAATTTACTTGTCTCTGCTCAAAATTAGGAAGGTTATAGATCGTTCCCCAGAGCTAAGCCATTATTAGTTGTTAAGATCTCTTTTCAAATAACGCTTTGTCAATTAAGTTGTTGTTTTTTCCTAAGAAGTTTATATGAAAAATACATGTTGGATAGAATCATCTACTTTCAGACTGTTTTGGGGTGTTTTTAATTAATTGATATTTTATTTTCAACTCTAAGTTAAATGATTTGAAACCACATTAGCAATTCCTAATTTCAGATGGTTCTATATGAAATTCTGTTAGAATTTTTATATATTCCTAGGCAAAATTGAAGAAGTAGTTCTTGAAGCTAGAACTATTGAGAGAACAACAAATCCTTATAGGAAGGATGAGAATTCAATCAATGGAATGCCAAATATCACAGTAGAAATTAGAGAACATATTCAGGTATTTGGGACTCTCAGCTTACTACTATGTTTAATATTTTAAGGACATAAGAATTATTTGTTGAATTGATTTTTTAATTTAATTTTTTTCAAGCTTAATGAAAGTAAAATTGTTAAACAAGCTGGAGTTACCACAAAAGGGCCCAATGAATATGTTCAAGAAATAGAATTTGAAAACTTGTCTCCAGGAAGTGTTATTATATTCAGGTATGTTAATTAGAGTTGAAACTATTGACTTTATGTATATTTAAAATAGTTTGCATATCCTGTTAACTTTGAATAAATTACTCCTAAAAATTAATCATTTTTAATTAATGTTTTCAGAGTTAGTCTTGATCCACATGCGCAAGTTGCGGTTGGAATTCTTCGAAATCATCTGACACAGTTCAGTCCTCACTTTAAATCTGGGAGCCTTGCTGTTGACAACTCAGATCCTATATTAAAAATTCCTTTTGCTTCGTAAGTATGCCTTATTTTATAGCGATTTGCCACTTTAATAACTGGTAAGTTACTATTAGACTGATTTAAGCAGTTTTAAGGGTGCTCTATATCCTTGTTTCTGAAAACATAGTCCAAGACACCAGCAGTGTCAGCATCACCTATTGTTAACATTTTACCCTATTGCTTTGTCATTTGTGTGTGTGCTCGGATGTGCACTCTGCTGTGCGTGTGCAGTCTTTCTTACAGATATGGATATATGAATGCCTACATACACACACACACACGACTTCTCTGAACTCTTTGAGGCTAAGTTGCATACATCATACCTTTTTCCATATCATTTTTTTAAATTATTAACATATTCTACTATATGGCTATACCATAATTTATTTAATCAATCTCCATTTTTTGAACATTCATCTTTGCATAAATCTTTAATTATTCCCTTACTAGGTGGTACTACATAGTACCAAAGAGTGTGGGTTTTAAAGTTTAGACATGGGTTTAACTTCATCCTCACCACAGTCAGTATGATCTTTGACAAGTTATTTAGAACTTCCTTCATCTCAATTTTACATCTGGAAAATGGGCCTTACAATAGTAACTACCTCTTAGGTTTTGTATGGATTAAATAGGATAACACATATAAATCACTTAACACAATACCTGGCACATAGTAAGTGCTGGATATATGTTTGCTATCATTAGTACTAGGAAAAATTTCCAGAAGCGGAATTTTTTGGTTAGACTACATCCATATGTTTGAGGCTTTTAGTACATACTGATTCCCTCCAGAGAAATTATATTAATTGATACTTTCAGCTCCATATAAGAATTTCTACCTTACCAATACTGAGTCTATGTTATTATGTAATGTAGTATCTAAGAGCATGGAGTATGGAACCAGACTACCTGGGTGTTCTGGAAAAACTCAAACTGGTTTTTCTTCCTCTGCTCTCAAACCATGACAATCAATACCGAAGAACGTTTCTGTTACATGATTTTTCCATACACATCACACAACAGATACCAGCTGGGTGTCCTCTAATTCAGTTCCAACCCTGTGTACCTGGAGATAGCATCAGATCCTACAGAGGGAGGGCTCAGTCCCCATAGCTGCCCCCACGTCAGATACCAGTCACAAGTCTGGGCCTCTGGAACTTCTGACTGACCTGCTTCAAGTTGCCATTCCACGACCCCCTGTTTGGGTTCAGTTAATTTGTTGGAGCAGCTGACAGAACTCAGGGAAAGACATTTACCGGTTTATTTTAAAGCAGCAGTCCCCAGCTTTTTTGACACCAGGAAAGACAATTTTTCCGTGGATCGGGAATGGAGGTGGGGACGTCGTGGCAGCTGGGTGTGGCGTGGAGCTCAGGTGGTGATGCGCTGCCGGTGTCCTGACAGGCCACAGCCCAGTGATGGGCCAGGGCCCGGGGTTTGGGGACCACCGTTTTAAAGGATATTACAAAGGATGCAGATGAAGCTATGCGTAGGATGAGGTATGAGGAAAAGGGCATGGAGCTTCCACACCCTCCCTGGGTGCGCCATCCTCTGGGAACCTCCATGTGTTCAGCTATCCAGAAGCTCTCTGAACCCTGTCCTTTTGGGTTTTTATGGAGATTTCATTACATAGGCATGATTGACAACCGTGCAGAAACGTGATTGGATAAAAAGCGCAAGATCTAACCCAGGAAGGCCTGTCTGTTTAGATTCTTCCTGGCCTCTCTATGCAGCATTCCTTGCTGAGAGAGGGTACTCCTACCCCAAGAGGGTATGGGCAGGACCAGCTCTGGAATGAGGGACTTTTGACCCACAATTAGATTAGAGTCTTGCCTTGGACAGTGAAAGGAGGACAACAGAAGGTCAGAGGGAGAGATTCAGTTTCTGAGGCCTGCTCCTGAGGCCTAAAATGCCCCAACATTATAACAAGAACTATTGGAATTATGAGCCAGGAACCATAGACAAAAACCAATATATATATATAAATATCATAATATCACCCTGGGTTTGAATTCAGTATCAGGCTCTTGTTAGCTATAAGAAGTAAGACCTTGGGCAAGCTATAATAGATGAAATCATAGTACCTCTCATACAGAGTTGTGAGGATTACTTAAGTAAAACACTTAGAACAGTGTTTGGTATTTAGTGATTGATAAGTGTTAACTATTAATAATCAAATGGGTAAATATAAAATATTTGAAAATATTATCACATTTATTAGTTAAGCTAAAATTTTTTTCATTGGCCATTTGTATTTATTTGTTGTATCATTTTCTGTATTGGCCCATTTTTCTATTGTGTTCAATTTTTTTGTTGTTTATAAGACCTTTTATTGTTAAGGATATTAACTCTTAATGCAAACTATTCTTAGTAAGTAGTTTCATTCTAAAAAAAAAAATCTGTGATGGAGCAGCTTTGTGTTTCTATGGAATGCTTATAAAATGCACATTCCTCCTCAGACCTCAGATTATCTTGGGGCAAGGCCAAGAAATCTGCAGTTTAATAAGCTCCCCAGATAATTTTTATACAAGGAGTCCATTGGCCACGTGTTGAAAAATATTGACCTAGAATTGCATTGGTACTGAGGCTGCTGATTGGTCTAACTCAGGCTTGACTCAAACTACTAGAGTATAGCTGTAAGGAGCAAGGCTGAGGTGGTGGAAACAAAGCACAGCTGACAACAATTTCCAGGCTGAGCTGGAACTAAGAGAGAAAGAAGGAAATACAAGAGGATATGTGTTCACATAAAATGGCAATTGTATAAAATGAAATGTCCTGAGCAACTAGAAGCACAAGAAAATACAGTTTCAGTTCTGTTCAGGTGTGGTCAGTTATACAATCTCATTTCTAACTGAACAAAGGGAAATCAACATGGTTGTTACTTCCCTCTGACAATTATCAAGAAGCATTTTTATCTGAGAAAATCCTGGTTTCTTATTCAAGAAAACTGAGGGGCATTTCAACCTTAGAAGGAGAGAGAAGGAACCTTAGAAGAGGAGAGAAGGGACTGGGAGGGAAATACAAAGGCAGAGACCATATGATTTCTTAGGTAGTTAACTTTGACTTTTGATTATCCCTTTACTGGTCCTTTGATAAGTATTTTGAGTTTAAGAGAACTAGCATAAAAAGTTCTTGATGTCTTACTTTGGAGAATACAAAGGAGGGAAAAAACTAAGTCTGAAACAGAAAGTTTTTCTATAATATAAGATAATTAGGTACAGCAACCAAAAGATTTTTCCAGTGTACTTCTAATCAATAAAATTTGGCACTTGTCTAGGCGTGGTGGCTCATGCCTGTAATCCCAGCACTTTGGGAGGCCAAAGCAGGAGGAATGCTTGAGGCCAGGAATTCAAAACCAGCCTGGACAACATAGTGAAACCCTATCTCTACAAAAAATTTTTAAAAAGCAGCCAGGCCTGATGGTGCACACTTGTAATCACAGTTACTCAGGAGGCTGAGGCAGGGGGATCACTTGAGCCCAGGAGTTCAAGGCTGTAGTAAGCTATAATTGTGCCACTGCACTGCAGCCTGGCTCTAAAAAAAAATTGAAATAAAAAAATAAAATTTGACACTTGATTAATTCCTTGGTTTGGAGTAATACTACTTCTAATTGAATTTTTGGCATGTTTTTCTCACTAATTATTATTTATAATGTATGTCATATATGTGTATTTGAATGCTGAGTTCCTAAAACATTGCTAGGACATTTTATAATCATAATTCAGATTTTCTTCTTTTGTTTCTATTGATAACAAGTGAAATTTCAGTATATTTAACCAGTTATCTTTATTTCCAATTCTTAGTATTGCCTCCAAATTAACTTTGGGTGAGCTAAATCAGATACTTTACCGATGTGAATCAGAAGAACAGGAAGATGGTGGAGGATGCTACACCATACCAAATTGGTCGTCCCTTAAATATGCAGGTCTTCAAGGTAAGCAAGTAGAAGGATCACTAAGCTTTGTGTTTTTCTTTTAGGGTCATCTGATATCTTCTTTATAGAAGTAACAGTATGGGCTCAGAGTGTGACAGCTTGGGTTTAAATTATAGCTCTGCCTCCTCCTATTCATTGATTGACCTTTGGCAAGTAACATAACCTCTTTGTACCTCAATTTCTGCCTCTATAACATGTGAATAGTATTAATAATACTAGTATACTATAATAGTATTATTAGCCTAATTTCGTGACGATTAAATGTGAGGCTTTTGTGAGGATTAAATGGGACCATTCATGTAAAACACTAAAAACAGCATGTGGCACAAAGTAATCAGTGTTACCTGAAAGTACTAGTTCTGTGTCATCCATTAAGATCATTTATAGCTCTTTATGTATACTTTGACCTTAATGTTTCTTGATCTGGTTTATTATATATAAAACAAGAAACAGAATATGTGTGTTTGGGCCCCAAATGGGACTAGGTTGTAAATATAATACTCTCATCTTTTTTTTTTTTTCATCTAATTGGAAAATTTTTTGCTGCATATTTGTTTTATCCTATAAAGAGAATTTGTAAAATATTATGTAGTTAGAGTAGTTGTAACATGAGTTAAAGGAACTAAATATTTAACCATCCATTTAGTCCCTCTAGTTGGTACTGTTTTCCTAAATATTTATCTAAGAAATTTGCTTTATCACACCTGCCTTCCTGGTTCATATAGTTTTCCACTTATCATACCTCTTTTTTTAACTCCTTTTTTTTTTGTTCATCTAGTTCATCTTTAAGGGCCAATTTAATTCTTAAATATTCCATAAAACCTCTCTTAACTATTTCTTTTTACAGTAATTTCTTTGTCCTCCAGACACCCATTCTGTTTTTTTCTACACCTCTTACTTGACCCTTGAAATAAATCACCTTATTTTGGTAATTAGTATAATGTTTTTTGCGATTCTTTATCAGTGCAGTTAAGAAACAGGCTTTAAAACCAGACTCCCTAGGTTATACTACTAACTGTATAACTTTGGAGTAGTTAAACTCTCCATAGCTCAGTTTCCTCATCTGTAAAATGGAGATGATAATAATAGTCCTACCACAAGGGATTATGGTTAGGATTAAACAAGTTAACACATGTGAAGCATTTAGCACCTAGTTCATCCTAAGGACTTGGAAATTATTAGCTTTAAAACTCCACTTAGGGATGGAGGGGGGTAAACTCACAACTAAAGGACACGGGGAGCGTTGTAGAAGGGAAGGGCATGCCTCTAACCCTCACTTGGGTGAGGCAAAGACATAAAATGTAACCAAAATGTTTGTACCCTCATAATACCCTGAAAAAAAAAAAAAAAAAAAGACTCCAAGTAGATTGTACCTTGAAAAAAGAAGAATGTAAGTTTTATCTTTTTTGTGGTTCTTGTTTTTTAGCTTTTTAGCTTTTATACCTCCCACAACACTAAGCACATAAGAAGCTCTCATAAATTTTTTTGAGACTTTTTTTGTGCTTAGGGCTTTTTTTTTTTTTTTTTTTTTTTGGAGATAGAGTCTCACTCTGTTGCCCAGGCTATAGTGCCATGACGTCAGCCTAGCTCACAGCAACCTCAAACTCCGGGGCTCAAGTGATCCTCCTGCCTCAGCCTCCCAAGTAGCTGGGACTACAGGCATGCGCCACCATGCCTGGCTAATTTTTTCTATTTTTAGTTCAGACGGGGTCTCACTCTTGCTCAGGCTGGTCTTAAACTCCTGACTCAAGTGATCCTTCCACCTCAGCCTCCCAGAGTGCTAGGATTACAGGCGTGAGCCACTGTGCCCGGCCAAAAACACTCTCTTTTTTTTTTTTTTTGAGACAGAGTCTCACTCTTTTGCCCAGGCTAGAGTGAGTGCCGTGGCATCAGCCTAGCTCACAGCAACCTCACACTCCTGGGCTCGAGCGATCTTTCTGCAAAGCCTCCCGAGTAGCTGGGACTACAGGCATGCACCACCATGCCCGGCTAATTTTTTCTATATATTTTTAGTTGTCCGATTAATTTCTTTCTATTTTTAGTAGAGACGGGGGTCTCACTCTTGCTCAGGCTGGTCTCGAACTCCTGAGCTCAAACAATCCGCCCGCCTCGGCCTCCCAGAGAGCTAGGATTACAGGCGTGAGCCACCGCGCCCGGCCAACACTCTCATTTTTAACACAAAATGTTTTGTGCTGTGAGTGATGAAGAAGTGTACATATTCCAGTTTTAAGCAATTATCTATTCCATTTTCACTCTGAACTGTTGAACTCCTACTTGACTGAAAAGACCATACTTTTGTGAACTCCTCTTTTAGCCTGTCTTCTTAAAGTCAAGTCTAGTTCTTTACTGTTTCTGTTTATCCTCCTAATGAAATGATTCTGCCCATTCTTTTTACGTGATTTTTTACTTTATACCAATCCCTTTTCCCTCTGATAGTTTAATATTTTTAATAGCCCACAGAATATTTCCTGCAGGCTGTTAGTAGCAGCCTCAGATTAAATCAAACTTAACCACTTCATTGACCTTTCTCTCCTCTAAACAAAATGTACTTCCCTACTTCTTATAATAATGTATATTTAGTTGTGTTGGATTCTAGGAATCAATTTTTGGATCTTCCCCTTTCATCCTCATATTCAATCAGTAATTATGATTTATGGATTCTTTTCTCTGTTTTCTTTGGTATATCATATCCTTTTTATTTCTACAGTTATCATCCTATTCTAGGACTAAGTCCTGTCTACAAAATAAACTAACCG